GAAAAGGGTTGAAAAACCATGAAAAAAGCCACAATTCGCAACTGTCCAATAGGTTCCTGTCCAATATCGTAAAATATTGGATCGGCACGTGACCCTCTCAACGATCACTGATTGGTTAAGTGCGCGTGAGTGTATAATAAAACCGACTAATTAATACTAACCACACTCACTAGTCACTTCATGTTAATAGTGAAAGAAGTAGGAGCTGTAAAGACTTGACAACAGACAACATCTGAGAAGAACACAGACGTTTAATCCATAGAAGTTCGTTCAAACAAGTTTTAATTACACTGGTCGATAGTGTTATAAGTCAATCAATCAATCAATCAATCAATCAATAAACTTTATTTACAGAGGGTTAAAAATATTACATAGCTAATATACCTGGTAAGTCAAAAAGACTTATCTTCCTCAGGGCCCTGGCTATTTTAGTTGAAAATATGAGTTGAAGTTATTTACAATAGAGTGAAATATTATCAGTTGCTAGTTAAAAAATAATTTGTTAAAAATTTCCTCTTAAAGTCGTTTAGAGATACACTTTCTCTAATGTTTGAACTTAATGTGTTCCATGTCTTTACACTGCTGTATCCAAACGTATTTGTATATATCTGTTTATGTTTTCCTGGAGGCAAATACAGATCATTTGCAGAGCTTGATCGGGTTGTCTTTGTATGAACTTGTCTGACAAATCTAAACATATTTGTCACATAAAGTCAAAATGGGCAGTTGTGTCTTTGTAGTATTTGTCGACGACTATGAAAATCCTAAATTTCGATCGTCGAATTCCTGTTAAATCGTAAATCATATTGTTATATAGTTAGTGTCAACAAAGTTCAATTTTTCGGCCGTGTTTGCCGATTGGTCAAAACCGTGTCACGTGCCGGACCGCCGGTCCACAAAACGTCATTCTCGGCAACCGGTCCGCAATCAAACATTTATTGACCGGTCAATAGTAAAATGGGTGCAATACGCATGCGTGTCATCCATGAAGTTCCAAAGTTCATTTTTAAAACTTTTTACTAAACATATTTACGGCGTTCCATTTATCCAGTTTTGGTTTCAAATTAAGTTCGCTCCAATAATTGTGAATTATTCAGACTTTGACACTTATATACTATATAACAAAACTTCACAAAACACACTGTTTCTCTCGGTCTCAGTAAATAAGTGATAAATATACGACTGCTTTGAATGAGTTAATACAAAAGTCACTATAAATCAGACCACGTCATGACTATTGTCCAAATAATCTATAAATTATTTGTTCAACAGTTTCAAGAACATTGGCTGAGGTAAGACGCGTTTTGAAAGAGTGATTTAACTTGTCTCGGAACTTGTCTCGCAATATTAAGAAAAAATATTTCAGCATTGCATTGCAAGGGATGTTACACCAAGCGGTCCAAGACTCCAAGCAATATGTTCCATGCAACTTGCAATGATCATGCATAGTATACCGTGTTTTGGCGCCAGATTGACAGTCAAAAGTCAATAGGAAGCCATTCAGTGCATAATATTGCGAGACTAGTTGCAAGAGGGATGTTACATTGTGCAATGCTTTAAAAATGCGTTGCAGTGTTGCCGCAATCGTTGCAAAAAAGTAGAACCTTATTCTACTTCGTGCGATGGTTGTTGCAACAACAAATTTTGCGAGACTTGTTGATTGCGAGGCATAATACACCTTACAATTTCGCATGCAACTTGTGTCGCAACAAAATTGCGAGACAAGTTGCTTAGTGTAACAGCGCCTTAATTGTGTTGGAAATAAAAATGACCATCTGTCCGTTAAATAAATACTTCACTTTACTATAGGCATAGCAGCACATTGGCCTTTGCCCGCAAGCAAATTTTGCCCGTTAATCTAAAGGCGATGCCTGCGGAGATTGCGAGACAAGTTGCGAGACAAGTTGCGAGACAAGTTATGGGGAATACGGTGAATTTTGCAGGCCAAAATAGGAGTCACACAAAGCATATACCAGCGCGAAGATGAGGCAGATAACGCTGACCGAGGTCTGAATTACTGAATAATTATGATATCCTGCGTAAGCCGAATTCAATAATCTTTAAATTTGCTCTGTTGAAACCGAAGCAAAACGAGCAGAAGCAGCAGAAGCTATTGTCAAAACAAAAGAATTTTACAAAATTTCCCGCTCTTTTCCAATTCATGCAAAATACCGCTGCAAAAATACGCGGGCACCTACAGACACGATATTTATTTGTCATGTTCACATGCAGATACGAGAATTATTTGTCATGTTCATGTCTGAACCGAGATACGGGGAAGTATCTGTAGGCTTTCAACCAATAAACTTGTTTGGGATTAAAATTACCCAGGAAAATAATTTACAATGTCAATTTCAAGGTTAAAAAATGTCACCATGCCATCGTAAAGTATGACGAGTTTCCTGGAGGAACGTCGACTCCAGTGCCCACTGCATATATGCATGGAGCAATAAATTAAAAGGGTAAATATCGAGATTTTGTTCGCAACTCAGTGAACTCACTCGATTCAATAATGGTTGAAGGGTCTTGTAAATGAAAATTATCATTATAAGTTTCCACTTGATAATTTCCATCAACAAGACGTTAAATTAAAGAGGTTCACATGCAATATCTTACCTAAATATTAAGTTCATAGTCAAAGATATACCCTGGTTGGAGAATTTTATTTTTATAGCCATCACATAGCCATCTTAACGGCATGTAGATTGATGTGTGTTGCACAGATGAGCTTAGGTTATTAGTATCCCTGGTTCTTCCATTTCCCGCTCCCTGAAATAGCCATTTTGATGCAATTTGGGACCAGTTTGCATAGCCAATGCAGTTCGTTTATCCAGATATCTGTATATCCGGTCCCTGCAGAGGCGGCACATTGAACTATATATGAGTTTTCTAACGATAAAATCCTATGATTGGTCGAAGCTGACTCGCGGGGAAAATGCACTTTTAAAAGAATTGAGGAGAGTTTGTTTTAGCGAAAATTTGCAAGGAGAGATAATTTACTAATTAAACAGTGATTTTAACATATATATTGTCAGCACTTTTCCTGACCCCATTGTGAGAGGTAAATATATAAATCTATGAGTGTTGTATTTTCGGCTTTGGCAGTTTCGACTTTGGGTGGACGTCTCGACTCAACCATGCCGTCCCTTTTTCAGGGGAGGCTTGTTGCTCCCCCCTCCCCCCGCACAAAATTACCTCAGACCTGGCTTGTCTTAATAATTTCTTTTTTTCCAGAAGTAATATACAATATGATTTTAAAAGTAAGTAAGTAAGTAAGTTACTTTGGCTATAGGTCTTCAAGTTTGTGATTGCAACGCTGGGGTTTAACGAATGGGTTTAACCCGTGGCTTAACTATAATGTCACACGAGAGCGCAGAGCAAAATTTGAATTAATATTTGGGGCTACTACACTTGCAATTTTTGCTGGGATTTTTTCTGCGATTTTCTTCTTATGATGCATGTGAACAAGTATAGATGAAGATAAAGAGCAGAGCCCAGCAAATAACTTTAAACCCAAACATAATAAAAGTAAAAAATCTATTAGCTAACGTTTCGTTGTTTACAATACAACATCTTCAGAGCAATCTAAATGAATTTACAGGGTATGGTACATATATTTACAAATAATGGTTTAATAATATTACAAAAACGGTTACATAGTTTGAAAGAACAAATGAATAGAAAGCGAAGAATTGTCAATTCCAAACATTCGAATATTCAATTCACACATGAACTTGAAAACAATTCTTCGCTCCCTTTTCTTGATGTTAACGTAATGCGTTCAAACGGCTCATTCACGACCTCAGTCCATCACAAATGCACTTCAACTGGCTTATTCACAAACTTTGATAGCTTAATTTATTCCAATGATGTACAAAAAAGGTCTCCTTTTCTCTCTTATATCTCGATATTTCAATATTTGTTCTTCTTACATATCTAAATTTTCAGTCTGAAATGGAAAATTTTAAGAAAACCTTTTCTTCCAATGGTTATCCTAAAGTACTTATAGATAGTTGAATAAAGACATTTCTTGACAGGATTTACAACACCAAGGACAAGGTCCATACATGTTCCAAGAAAATTGTTTACTTTTGCCTTCCTTTTCACTGGACATCATGGTCTACATATCCGTTCACAGCTTAGTAAAGTTCTTGCTTCTGCTTATCCACATATTTCCATACGTGTTGTTTTCCGTCCCTCTTGTCGCCTTTCTAGTTTCTTTCCATTTAAAGACAGGATTCCCATTGCCCTGAGATCACATGTTGTATATCAGTTCACGTGTCAATGCTGTAGCGCATTGTATGTTGGCCAAACACGCCGACACATTCACACACGTATCTCGGAGCATATGGGAGTCTCGCCTTTGACTGGAAAAGAACGCTCTATCTCAACCATGTCTAGTATACTCGCTCACAAACACATGCACAAACACCCAGTCTCCGCTTCTGATTTCAAAATCCTATCATCAGGCACTTCTGAGTGGGATCTTCTTATCCGTGAAAGCCTATTATATAATATCTCAACTTAACCCTGTCCTTAATGCTAATATTAGATCTACCCCTCTTGAGTTATTTTAGTTATGTAATATTAACCTTAACTATACTAACCATACATTAATCTTTACTTATTAACTAGTTACTGATAAGTTGTTTTCGTTTCATTCTATTCATTTGTTCTTTCAAACTATGTAACCGTTTTTGTAATATTAAACCATTATTTTGTAAATATATATATACCATACCCTGTAAATTCATTTAGATTGCTCTGAAGATGTTGTATTGTAAACAACGAAACGTTAGCTAATAATTTTTTTACTATTACTATGTTTGGTTTTAAAGTTATTTGCTGCATGGGCTCTGCTCTTTATCTTTAAACTAAGATTTCCGCCTTGTGTATCAATTGCCAAAGTATAGATGAATTATGAATATTCTGTGTATATGTACCCTCACCTGAACATTCATAACTCACCCACTCGTTCACATCCATCAGAAGAAGAAAATAAAATCGCAGCAAAAATTGCAAGTGTAAACGAGCCTTTACGTTTTAATGTTTTGTTTGGATTAGATTATAAAATAATAGTAGACAAAATAAAAATACATTTTTGTCTTCTTTCGTCTTTCTATTAATTTTCATTTATAATTTTTATTTAGAAATCAGCTTAAAAATACGTTGAAAACTCGGTTAAATAACATGTCCGACAACGCTACGATTGAAAGAGCAGATCTAAAAGTAGAGGTCGAAGAACCAACTGTGATCCAAGAAATGTTAGAAGACGATGGAACTGCAACCACAACCCAAGAAGAGAATTACGAATTCAAAAACAATTCGGCAATGACGGACGACTCGATAACTGCCGATAATTTAGAAGAAATGAAAATGGAACTATTGCAACTGAAATTACAGGAAATGGAACTTTCGAAGCTGCAAGATTCCGCAACTGGTGACAAAGATGATCAAGAAATGCTACAAAAGTTGAAATTGGAACTCGCCATGGAGAAAGCAAAAAAAGAAAACACAAGAAGACAAAGAATCAGAGAAGAATGCGAAGGGGTGAGAAGAGAAATAGCGAAGACCAAAGAAGATGCAGTGGACGGACGGACATTAACACAAGATAATGATCATAAATATACATCAGAATGCTCGAAAACGGTAGCTTCTGAAGCTGACGAACGAATGCAGGAAGTATTAATCAAATCGAGAAAGGAACTGCAAGACACGAAGCAAAAAGAACAAGAAGAAATTATTCAGAAATTGAGACGTGAATTATCTGAACTGAAGGAAGCAAAAGAGGAGACCGCAAAAAGAGAAAAAGCTAGAAAAGAACGTGAACAGTTGAAAAGTGAAATCGAAAGGTTGAAGAAAGAAAAGAATGAAACCACAACAAGAGAAATAGAAGAATTTCAAAAGTTGAAAAAAGAAGTGGAAGAATTGAAGGAAGCTGCTACGGGAGTACGAACAAGACATAAGTGTGAAGAATTGAAAAAAGAAGTGGAAGGATTGAAAGAAGCTGCTACGGGAGTACGAACAAGACACAAGTGTGAAGAATTGAAAAAAGAAGTGGAAGAATTGAAGGAAGCTGCTACGGGAGTACGAACAAGAGATAAGTGTGAAGAATTGGAAAAGGTTAAGGCTAAGTTGGAAGAATCTGCAACCAAAGTTCGCACGAAAACAAAAGTTGCCGAACTAGAAACGGAAATACGAGCGGAAGAAGCGAGGAGAAGAGAAATCAACCGTATACTTCAGTTGATGGCTGCTGCACAAGCAGTTGACTTGTGTTTTCTCGTTGATTGCACTGGAAGCATGGCA